CAAAAGTACGCAGCGCGCAGCATATGAGGGGAGCATATGTACTTCGATCATTATCAATGCATTTATATTGTTCTCCTTATAACTTTGTAGAATACGCTGAGGGATATTCCAATGTCTTCTATGCGTGTGTCAGCACATCTGAGCATTCTATATATGTAGGTAACTTGCGCACTTTCGCATTATAAGGATCAGTGGATACAAGAAACTCACCCCGTGTGCCCTAGTCTTCAGCAAATCAAAGTAATTGTATGGAGAATTTATACGTCGAATGTAATCAATGTTTGTGGAACATTTTAACCTTGTGTGAGTTTTTCGAGGGATTAGTGGCTACGCATTGGGTCGGACGTACGACTTTTCTCTTTTGCCACGGCCCTTTACGACGTCATTAGCGCGACCTCTCTATGTGTCTATAGCTATACGTTTGCGCCTTATGTAACTGTCGCCCGGAACATATCTAACATCCCGCGCGTCACAACATCTTCCGTGGCTGGAAGAGTTTTTGGCCTGACTCGCAGTAGAGGGCCAATTGAGTTCATTCACGTTTGCATTTATGAATTTCATGTGGTACAAAATATGCGTACTTTTGTGTTTGTATTATGTAGTGAGATTAAAGAGCCACGAGAATGTGGCAGGTTCATAGCAATGCTATTAGCTGTACAACTGAGCGGGGCTTGGTCCGTGAGCAAATCATCCATTAAACACTCGTGATATACTCGTCAGCTGTAATTAACAAAGCAGTTATCGCCAATCGGTACCTAAGCGCTTACATGTTCCGCCTCAGGTGCAATACAAACAAAGAGTAATAGAACTATTGCTCACATCCATTTGCGGCTTAAGAAGATAGGCTTCTATGCAAATCATTCTAGGTGGAATAGCAACATTATAGGTCCTCTTCTACTAGGCGCGCACGAATGTTAAAGAGAAGAATTATGAAGAACATCTAACAATTACTATTCCATACTAAGGCAACATTATGACAAGCTCAAGCTTACTTTGTGCAATGTAAGAATGTGAGACAAGTAATTTCAGAACATGCACAGCAGATGCATAAGATTGGGATAAGAATATAATGAGATACAAACTCAAAAAACCAACTCGAACAGATTTGCAAATATAGCATTCTTTTGAGAAGATTTGCAAGCATTGGAATGACAGAATCGAACCATAACATTTATACCGCATTAAGTCTTAAACATCTATGAACAAAGAGTTTTGATATCGTACAAGAAATCAAAGTAAGTAGCATATTTGAGAAGAGAACAAATTTTCAAGAACATGTGTGCTAAAAAGATCTCCTAAAGCATGATTCAAGAAGAAGTATTATAAGTGGAAGAGACCGAGTACCAGACCTAGTAATCAAATTGATCAGAATGTAATCACTTGGGAAAGACGATCTACAGCACCCATGAGAGTATATCAGAACACATGAATTTTCTAAAAAAACCTGGAAACGCTAATGATCAGAAGACATGGGAATGGCACAATCAAAAAAGAAATTTCAATAACACTTAAAACAATGTTAGCCCTATTTTAGTTTGACCTACAAGAAAACTTCATATGCTGTAATGGTAAAGATAGATGAACTCAGTATTAAGTGGAAGTACACTTTCGGACTGTGTTAGCGCTTGGAACGCAGAACACGAAAAATTAATAAATTTAGAATCACCAGATTTGTTTTGAAAGAAAATCACATCCGTAATCAGTATGTTGACCAACGTTACTTACAGGAGCACTCAAGAACTCGAAGTACCAAAAAAAGTACGAAGAATCGATGAATCAAATCAATCAATACATTTTTGAGTAGTTGTCAGTTTCAATCT